AAAAAAGCAAAACTAGAAATGGCTTTTCTTCTTAGCCAGCCATACCTAAAAATTTATTTCACTTTAGTCAAATGTTTCACAACCAACACTTTAGAAACACATGCTAAGGATGAAGCATGACGAATGACCTAATACTGCATACTTGGTCACTTGTAGGGCTGCAGAATTAGAACTCAATGTCAGGAAAGGATTTTCTAACTCTAAATGATGGCACTGCAATTTACAGAGGTTGCATATCAAATGATATGTGCTATTAGCTGGCTGGTTTTAGCGTGCTCAAGCTATTAATGTGTCAAATGATACTGGTGTTAATTTATAACTATATAGAATACAGAAGTACCTCTTGTTTTCATTTGGCAAATGGTCATTCTGAGACATGCATTTCCAACACTATATTATCTTTGAAAGGCAAGAAACACACTGATAGTATATTTTTCTCTCGACGGACAAAGAATTACTGCTGTAGCTCTGATGTCTTTATCAGCATTACTGAGACATACACTTAGAAAAACGTGCCCAGCGATACCCATGCTTTGTCATCTTGAAATGTAACTCTACTTCTAAATCTTTACTCCACACCGTCATTACTCTTAAGAATAATGTTATTCGTGCTAATAAATATCATGGCCCTTTAACAAAAAGGAAGACTACTCTATTTTAAGATCTTGCATGTTACTCTTTAATAATGAAGAGCCAGCCATTGAGTTTTCCAGAGCAAAATGTTATGCTACAAAGAGCAAGGCACTGTTATGTTTTACATACAGCGAATTTCCATTACTGACAACTATTGGATTATTTTTACAAGCTGTGCTTTTTTACTTTCCCAAGACACTATCAGATGGTAAAAACTGACTGTCCAAATATCAGCAGCAAATAATTCTGTTACTAAAAAACCAAACCAAAACAAATGACCAAAAACCAGTCAAACATAATGATCCTTCTGCAACAAACAGGAAAATGTCTCTGTGATTCAGTGATAAGCTTGAACAGTGTCTGCCTTCACTCTATCTTTGCTCTACCTTCGGCTACAGATGGCTTTTTAGAAATTTTCACCAGGGCTAGACCGTGGCATGCAAGAGCAGACACGGAGCTGCAGTGCGTGAGATCACCATGCACTGATTGCAGCATCTACTAGAGCCATGTGGTGGGTCCTTTGTAATCAACAGGAAGCCTAAGTTGGTGCATTCCCCACTAAAATGAAAACCCAAATGTGCGTCTGTAGTGTACACTGAAATAGTAAGAACAGAGATGGGAGAAAAGTGAGAGCAATACACCGTTTAGAAGAAAATTAGCCTTATGTGACAAAAATACTGACCAATCAATAGACTGTTAAAAGAAAACAGTATCTGCCCAAATAAAAAAAAGGTTAACGAAGTCTGTTGATGAAAGCCACAGACTAATCACTTATTCACTAACAAGCAGTAACTTATACCACTCCTGCCTGTGATTTCTGACCATCTCATTAATTAGATAACCTTAAGAATTCCCGTGTATTTAACTTACGGCTTTAATATTCAAAATACAGACTTTGTGTATCTACATTAAAATTCCCTAATTGCTAATTTTTCTTATGGGAAAAAAGCGTGCACTGAGTGATTAACGTGCACTTTTATAGCTTGTCTGCGTTCACTGAAGCTGCCTGTTGTAGGCACCTGCACTTCCCTCTTCCCAGTGCTTCCCACTGCAACCTTGACTTATGTAAGCAGCTAAAGATGCGATAGGGAAGCAATATTTTCACGTATTCTACAGATGCCACCTACAGTGTCATCTACATTTTGTAATTTAAAATAAAAGTAAAATAAAAATGAAATTTCTCTTTAACCCGAGAAGTTTACTTTTTAAAAGACTCATAAGAGGAAACACTGAATGGCCTGACTCATTGGTCTCGTTTCTAACACTATTAATGAAGCTCTAAAGCTGCAAGGTAGCAGTGACAATATCTGATGTACTAACATGTTCATCCAACATTGATTCTTGTTTTTCTAAGGAGAGAGTTGCCATGCGAACATCTAGACACGATACAGCAAAATCAGCCGCTCTGTGGCACTAGAAATCCCAACTGGATGGATTTATGGTACTGCACTCCTGCCATCTACACAAGCTTCATTAGTGTTTTACCTACATAAAGCGTTTTACTGTCCCTTGTTCTTTCTGGCAATGCTCATATTTGTGCAAATCAAGCGCAAACTTTAACAGATTTGGAACAACAGTGCTTTAAGCACATTTAAAATAGGTTAAAATGATGACAAAGTCTAAGGCATAGAAAAAATCAAGTTCCAAAGCAGATATTCTCTCACTAGTTTCTTCTGTAATGACAATTGGGAAGAAAAATCAGGAGGACTTTTGCATCAAGACATATTGCAGTAATTAGGTAGGATTTTACCAGGTGATGTTAAATAAAATAATTTTAATAAACTACTAGCCTGCTAAATGACAACAGGAACCCAAGAGCATTTATATTGCTTTCTTCCACTAATCAATGGAATTAGCTTTAGTATCCTTATATCTAATTATTGCTTTTACAATCAATATCTACTTTATTAGAAAGCACGGAAATGAAGAATAGATCAGAGTTCAAAGGTTTCAAAAAACCTGTATGGTCTCAAAAAATAAATTGAGAAATAGTTACATTAAAATCAGACATGCATTATTACCCTCATTACTGTAATATTAATATTCATTTGGTATATTTTGCATTACAACTGCAAAATTTACAGAAATATTTTTCTATTATTTTTTCATCAGCCAAGGTTGATAGCTGCAATGAAGAAAAATGTAGTGTACCTATGGATATCTATAGAAATGGATGCTATGTTTCCTGTTGTTTTCTGACTGGGCAAATGTAGTTAAATTTAATCACAGCTTGTCTGATACAAAGGAGAAATAGACTTCACATTTTCTTAAATGATGTTTAAGCCTAGCCATTGAGTCACAGAAACAAGTCTGACTCTTAGTCCTAGTTCTGAGGTGTTTAGAAGTCTCTCCACAGGCTCCGTGAGGTCTCTCCGTCTTTACTAACCTTCCAGCGTTTCAGTGCTGTACCAGACACATCTGTGTCACCACATCAGTGTCACTGCAGCAACAGCAAAAAAAATGTAGATCTTCCATCGGTTTATGGTGGTCACACTAGTGAATAGCACAGCTCTCAGAATTACAAAGTCAGGGAAATTAGGGCTGCAGTGCCACCCTCTAACTCTCTCTTTCTCCTCCTCAGTTCAAGTAAGGGTCAATTAAATCTGTTAATCTTGGTAAATACTTGCCCAGTCTGTGACTCAGGTACCTCAGTAAAAAGGTAATATAATATTACCCCATTAGCACTCTGGTAAAAATTACATTTGAAGAGCTGGATTCAAGCAGAGTAGATATTCTTTGATTTACATCATCTGAGTATCCTACCTCTGTGTTACTTTCACCTTAAATTCACTGGTTGGGTACTATTCAGGGCTTGATTCATAGTATTTTAGCCACAAAGCTGACACACAGAAAAAAATGAAAAGTCACTGATTAAATAGCTTCAGTTGTTGCTCTGTTAGGCATCAGTACAGAACGTGTCTTCTCACTGCTGACATTGTCATGTACCAGAAAGCTAGTCTGCACCCTCCCGAAACCAAAGGTGTGGGCTTGCTCTGAATTAAAGTGCTGCCAAAAAGCAGAAGTGAACATTAGAAAGTGCATAAATTACATAATGCCTATATAGTTGGTAATGTAATACACTTCTTTTTTTTTTCCTCTCTCACTGATCTGGATCTGGCGTAGACTGAGAGTTGTTGGTATCTGGTGGCTTGTACATGATCCCTGCCACGTTCCCATTGGGAAAGTGTCTATATGCCAAAAACGTTATTCAAAATTATACCTTGTTCTTTTATGTGTAATTATTCTGCCATAAGCAGTGCAACACCTGTCAGCCTTATTAGCACGCAGGCCAAGGCGGTTAGGGAAACACACCTCCCATCTGGAAAACACAACACTTTAACTTGAGTAGGGCAGCAGCCTTATGAAGAGGGACACCCCCAGAAACCGAAACGCTCTGTGTCTCAGACCCCTGCAAATCTGCTTTACTGCCTTCTTTCTCAAGAATGAGTTTAAACACTCCTTTATTAGGTGTCTCTAGCACAGATCAATTTTCCAGACATTTTAACCTGTATTTTACGCCTGTAAGAAACTTCTTTCCGTAAGTCTGCAACAAATCACTGTTTAAAGCACACCAAAATGAAACCTATAGAAGCATATTTGTGTCTTCGCCCACGGGCTGAATCTTTACACGCCTGGCTTTATTGAACGTTACTCTTTTCTCGCAAGTTGTATGACTCTGCTTTGCTCCCTTCCAAGGCAACAAAGTCTGACTGACCTCCTGCCTTCCATCCCTGAGCATCTCTCCATCAGCAGCTGCTGGCTACTCGCTCCCACCCTTCCTCTATTTCGCATAGTTAATTATCCTTTTCATCTCCAAGCTCTAACTCCAAGAACTTTGTAACTTTTGGTAAGTGACTGCCAAAAGCATCACCTCAATAGTGCAACCATTGTTCCCCCGAAGTTGTTTACTGAGAACTCTCGTCTCTGCCCACTGTTGTGTTTCCTGTTTGCTCTTCCTAATAGCTCCTTTGAATTCAACCCCCTTTACTCCAAGAGAATAATGTGAAACAGATAAAGTGGAATACAGCTAAACCCCCCCCCCCCCCCCCAAGAGTGGTCTTTTCTTTACTCTACATAAATATTCATCAGGACTAAATGCACATATGCAAATTATGTTGTGTTTAGAGAAGTAACAAGTAGAAGGTGAGATGCAGAAGGGAAGCTGTGTACGTGATCTTTCATCTCATGGTGCTTTAGAGGCAACTACTCTGCAAGCTGACAAGCTGCTAATAAACAGGACACCCAGGGAGGTGCGAAGACACAAGCCTGCTGACGCCTTTTTCCCAGACCGAGACCTACAACCCCCAGACACAGAACGTGATTACTGAAAAGATTACATTAAATTTTGCAAAAGCCACCATACTTACACTGTCATTGCTTCCTTTGTTGTCCTCGTACTTTGTCTCTATATGAATGGAGAATTTAGGCAAAAATGAACACTGCAACAAAAGGAAAATATGTTTGACATAAAAAATATGCCTTGCTTCATCAGCTGACATATTCAGTACATCCTGTTTGGTATCAGCTTCCTTGTTTTTTTTCAGCTTATTTCAAGAAAAAGAGTAAATGCACACAGAACTAAGAGCGAAGGTTTTTATGAGTCTGGAGAGGTGTAGAGATTCTGTCTAAAAGCTGAATACTATAATGAAGGTATAAATAAATTAGTATAACTACTCTGAGTAACGAGATACAATATTTTTCATGCTCACTATGCATAAGAATACAAATGTCCTGAATGTTGTTATAAATTCAGTTCACTAAGCTCTCGAGAGCAAGTAGATATTCATCATCATAGATTAGTCTATCCCCCATATAAAATAATCCAAGGACACTTCACTAGCTGCAGATGCTAACCAAATAGACAAAAATGCTCTGACATGTGAGGGCTTTTTTAAATTTTCAGCGAGAAATGGATTTTAGCATAATTTCCTATTAATGAAATTAAGATGGATTATGAGCTGCTGTGGAAATTCCTTTGTACTAAACCCAAATCAATCTTTAGATAATAATGCAAGAAAATTAAGAATGCACAAATGTTTTTCTATTAAAGGTAATATTTATGTATTTTACATGGGAATAAATTTATTTTTCTGTGGATTGCTTAATTCAGTTGGCTTAGCGAGACTAGAATTTATAATACTAGGCAACATCATTCCAGTGGAAAAAATATTTCAAACATCTTTTCTTCAGCATTTCACAGTTCTTTCAAATCAACTTTTCAGAGAGGCAGAGAGAGTAGATGTCTAAAAAACTCTGAAGGATATTAGTTCAGCATCTTTGCTACTAGCCATCAAGTCTTTTCTTGCATTAACTGCCAGTGAAACTGAAGTGCCAGTTCCTTGTATGATGCATCACGAATACCCTAAGGCAAAGTGTCTTTCCAAAGACTACGACTATTTCATGTGCTGTACACAGAGATTATACAATGCGGCCATTATGATGCCTCAGTGTTCACATTGCTGTTGGTCCAAGTTTGGACTTGATAAAATTTGGAGAGTTCTTCTAAGGGAGAGGCTGATGACTAAGAAAAGAGGTGATTTAGGCGGCCAGCTGTAGCGCAACAAAATTGAAATGAGAAGCCAGCTCCTTTGAGACGACAGAAAATATATTCCTGATTCCATGGATATCACCCAACAAGTCATTGTTCAGTCTTCTTCTGATCACAGGATATCTAGTATTCAATGAGCACGTCTAGAATCAATCCTTGTTGAAAAAAGGACTGAGAGTTTTGCCAGGATAAGGTTCTGGTGCTGCGGAAGGCTGCTGGTGGAACTGTCTTCCCATTAACATAATGAAATACTCCCATGTAACGTGTTGGTGCTGCAGATGCCCAGACCGCACAGGCTTCTCCTCAGATCTTATAAATGTTTTGCCTTTTATTAAAGATTTCTGTGGAGAAGCACATTTATGAATTTCAATCCAATCTGAACTGTGACTAGCTCTCAGCTATGCAACTTGTTCATTGAGTGAATATGTGGGAGGAAAAGAAAAAACCTCAGCAGTTAGGCGGAATGCAGAATGGGGCAAGTTCAATGACAGATCTGCTAGTTCCTATTACCCATATTTTGCGGGCAATTAAACATTTCCTATGTATACATCTCAGGAAGTGCCAGCTGAAAATATACAATATTTATAAGCAGCCTGTCAGAACAGGGGATCTTGTAACACAAATAAACTACTGAGGACTCAATGCTTAGGTCTGAATAATAGCTTTTAAAAACATTTTCACTGAAAATGGTAGAGATGTATGCCATGCTATCTATGATATACTAATTGTTTAGAACAGTTATCAGGAAAACACAGTTTACTAGCGTCGTGTCTGCATATTTCAAGGTTGCTCCAGGCCATGTTTTACTTACACGTTAGCGTGTGTGAAGTATCTGCCCTCTTGATTTGAGGACCAAAATTTAATTTTCTTTGCTACACAATTAAACAAAACCAGCAGCTCCTAAATAAAATCTAGTAATTGATAAAAACAGAAAACAGAATGACATCAGTGATCTATCACTAGTGCAAGAGTCATCAAGACTATAATGCTTGAGCAGATTGAGTATCTAGGTCAGAGCTTTTTGAGTTTGCAAACTTTTAGGTTACAGAGTCCGAGTCTAGCGGTTTGTCGGAAACCTCAGCAGCTGTGGAAATTGCTCTGACTATGCTGACCTTAATGGCCCTGGGCTTTGCAGTTCTCTCAGCTCTTCTAAGAAGCAGCAGGATCCACCACAGGACTTGGTGCTGCTTTCATGGTCCCATTGTCAGAAAACTCCGTTGACAGAGGGACCTTCAGTATAGCATCTTCCACATCTACAGCCAACACAAAGCTAACAACCCTTACCGAAACAGGTCCTCATCCCTGGTTCTGATTAAAGCATCTTTGCTTATGATCTAAGTAGAGAAATTCAGGAGTTGTTGGATTGAGTACATTCTTCAATACTCAAACACGTTTTTCTTTGTTGCTTTTAGGTCACAGTTCCAGGTACAGTGGAGATAAAAATGCAAAATGTGAAAAAGCTTTGTGCTGTTGATCTGAAGCATGGCTACAGTTTAAGAGGAAATTTTGAGTAAAGCCAAATTCCAGATTTCTGTTTTACCTTGCTATCAAAAAGTATCTACTATTTTCAACCACTGTACCTAGAATTTACCAGCAATGAGTCAGATCATGACACTTTGAAATGCAGCCATTTCATATATTGGACTTAAGGCTGCATTAGGCTGCCTGTAGCAGCTCAGCAAGCCACCGCTCGCATCTAGTTGGTGCTTCCTGTGACCCAGAATCTAAACTCTAATTAAAAAAAAAGAGATCCTCTAGTCTGGTATTTCAAAAAAGAAACATTAAGAAAAGACTAAGGATCGTCAGAGTATTACAGAAGAAGAATTATAAGTGCCATTTACCTCAAGCCACCTCATTAGAGAGCAGAAAGTCTTTTTCTGCACAAAGCTACAGTCAACCTCCCCGTGACTGAGTATAAAGGCGAGGGCTATAACAATCTAATTTGAGATTATAAATGGCAACATGAATTTACCCCAAATGAAAACTAAAATTCACCAAAAAGTACTCCATTGCAAATACTTCTCTCCGAAACGCAACTGTCTGGCAACCACCGCTTCAGCAGCTGTGGGGGGTCTCACTGGCTTTCAGGAACACTTAGCAGGGTCCAAGTTTTTGAACGTTTCACAGAATGTGTCTCATGATTCATCAGCTGCACTCTGACTAATTGGCAGAGGGCTCTGGCAGAACCAGAAAACTGTTTATGCATCATTCAAAAGACTTTATTATTCATCATGCAAAAAGTTGTTGGGTTTTTTCCCCTCCTTGAGTGGCTACTATTTACTTAGCCAGGGATTAAACGTGTTATGCAACAGTCAGAATCAAACTTGGGAGTGAATGGCAGGTAATGAACCTTTTAGATTTTTTTTCCCCCCAAAGCGCCACTCCCTTTCTGCTCTGCCTCCCCCGGGGCGCGTGTTCTTCCAGCACAAACCTGGCAGCCGATCGATACACAGCACACGCAGGGATGCACAGGGCCCCGCTTCCAATTTTCCCTTTCCA